AAAAAAAAAAAAAAAAAAAAGAAAGAAAGAAAGAAAGAAAGGAAGAAAGAAAGAGAAAGAAAAATGAAAAACGGCAGGTACACAGAGAAACTCTGTCTGGAACTCCTCCTCAAAGAACTCAAGGAGGACATGGGCTCTCTGGGCTACACAGTGAAGCATTGTGAAGGAGGGACACTAGGGTGCTAGGAAAATGGTCCCATCAGTAATGGGTTTGCTACACAATCATAAGGATCTGGGTTTGTTCAATAATAATAAAGCCTGGCATGGTAGCATGCATCCATTACTGAGGAGGTAGGGACAGGACTATCCCTGACTAACTTGTTTTGCCAAATTGGTATGCTCTAAGTTCAGTGGAAGACATTGTTTCAAAAAGTAAGGTGCAGGGAATGTGAAGATGGTTCCCCAGGTACAGCTTTGCACAACCAAGCCTATCTAAGCGTGATCTCTAGAACTCATGTGGTAGAAGGAATCACCTCCTGCACATTGTTTTCTGACTTCCATATCTTCCATATGCACATGTGCCACCCCCTCCCCCCACACACACACAAATGAACACAGTGGAGGCCCAGGGACAAGACTCAGTAGGTGACATGGGTCAGTAAGTAAGGGAATGTGCCACCAATACTGACAACCTAAGTTTTATCCTTCAAGCTGTACTCTCATCTTCACATGTGTACCAATGGCATGTATATGACCACACATATGCACACACAAATAAACAGAAAGTCGGACAGACAGGCAAACAGATAAATGCCCACGTAAAGAATTAGTATTCCAAGTAGGGGAATGGTGGTACATGCCTTTAATCCCAGTGCTCAGGAGGCACAAGGCAGGTAGATCTCTGTGAGTTCAAGGACAGCCTGGTCAACAAAGCGAGTCCAGGACAGTCAGGGCTGTTACAGCAAGAAACCCTATCTTGAAAAACAAAACAACAACAACAAAATGGTATTCTGCAAGTTGATTCTGTTTTGGGGATGTTCATGGTGTCAATATTCTTTTTTCTTTTCTCTCTCTTATCTCTTTGAGACAAGGTCTCGATACATAGCCTTGGTTGACCTGAAACTCACGGCCTAGACTAAGCTGGTCTCAAATTCAGAGATCTGCCTTCCTCCGCCTCGCAAGTTCTGATCACCACCATTACATGCTGTTCCCTCTCCACCACTCACTGACGTCAATATTCTTTTTTTTTTTTTTTTTTTTTTTTTTTTTTTTGGTTTTTCAAGACAGGGTTTCTCTGTGTAGCCCTGGCTGTCCTGGAACTCACTCTGTAGACCAGGCTGGCCTCGAACTCAGAAATCCTCCTGCCTCTGCCTCCCAAGTGCTGGGATTAAAGGCGTGCGCCACCACCGCCCGGCGACGTCAATATTCTTTAAAGGAAATCTTTTTTTTTTTTTTAAGATTTATTTATTTATTATATGAATACACTGTAGCTGTCTTCAGACACCAGAAGAGAGCATCAGATCTCATTACAGATGGTTGTGAGCCACCATGTGGTTGCTGGGATATGAACTCAGGACCTCTGGAAGTGCAGTCATTGCTCTTAACCACTGAGCCATCTCTCCAGCCCGACGTCAATATTCTTAACTGGCATCGGACTAAACTATGAAAATAAAACCTTATGAAGAAAAACAATAGACAGGGCGTCAAAGTGTTTGGTCGGGTCTGCTGAATTTTCCTGGGGCTTTAGAACAATTCAAATGAACAGTATGTGGAATGGCGGAGTTTCATGGCTATTTTTGAAATGATGCATCCCACGACGCATTAAATAAGTTGAAAACAAGTGCGCTCATCATCTGAGTGGGATGTCAATAGTAACAGCAATAGGTCTGACAAGGAAACCGCACAAAGGGAATAATAAGGACTCAGGACAAAGCTTCGCCTTAGAGCACTTGCCTAACATGCCCAAGGCCGTGGAGTCAAACTCCAGACCACAGAATTCCCAACCCAAACATAAAAGCCTCAGGAACCATGTCAGGATCGAGAATTGGGAAGGTGCCTTAATGCTAACTCCTACTCCCTCTTCAGCATCTCCTTCAGGAGGCCTCCTAGCCGCTCCTCACTCTCCAGGCTCCCCCTCACACCTGCCCCCAAGCTCTTCTCCCCCAGCTCTTCACGCCCAAACCTGACTCCCGTGCGTCTTCCTAGGCTCCTTCTCTATCCTGGCTTCCACCTTTGTCTTTACCATCCCCTCCACCGACTCCGGCAATGCACCTTCTGCTCCCCCTAAACGCCTCTTCTTCCTCCGCCTCTTCAAGGCTCCTCCTCTCAATCCTCATCCTCTCCTCCCCAGCTCTTTCTTCTCCGGCTCCTTCCCAGCTTCTCCATTCCTCTCATGCTCCCCACTCCAGAGCCTCCCCATCTCCTAGATTCTTCCCCCACTACACACTCCCTATTTTCTCGGGATCCTCCTCTCTCCACTCTTTCCTTATCCTGGTTCTTGCTCTTCCTGACCTCTCTTGCCACTTTCTGCGGCTCCTCCCCTCTCCATTTTCTCTCGATCTCCTCCTCTCCCTCTTCTCTCCCGCCCCCTAAGTTCCTCCTCTCTCCCAGCTCCTCCTCCCTCCCAGTCCCTCCCCTTTCCTTCCTCACCGCTCTCTGGCCGCTCCTCCTCTCCGAGTCTTTGGCTCCGCCCCACAGAATGATCGATGGGTCCGTCCGCAGGCGGGTCCTCGGCGCTCGGCTCGCCACGCCTGCGACGCTGCCATGGAGACGTAGCCGCGGCCTCCTGGCTCTACCCGGGACCTGGATCCCTTGCGTCAGCAGGCCCACGCGTGTCCGCGAGCGCCGATGGCAAAGTCTGCTTCGCTGGAGCATCCGGGCAAGCGGTGACTTTGCCGGGCGCAGGGGCGTTGTGGCTCTCATTCTTCTTCCTCTCTGATCCATAGCTGAGGAACGCTTCTCTCACCAGCCGGGAGAAGACAACCATCCGTGGATTATTAAGGGACCTGAGATTGTCCAACCGCCTCATCCTTCCACTCAGCTCAGCTAGCTGCATCCGTGAGTAGCCTCGCTGAACTCTCTGACCCATAGAGGCTGCTCCTAGTGGCGAGGCCCATACTGGGCCTGTCCCTGTCTCCCTTCCCGACAGTTTCTCCCCTTTGCAATGTCACCCTTGGTAAGAGTGGAAGACTAGCTGGAAGAAAGGATCTGAATCAACGCTTAGTCCACATCCCCACTGTTTTGAGTGTCATCCCCTGCTGCAGGAACCCTGGATACATCTCTTTGAGCTCAGCAGTATTGCAGGGGCAGTGGACACCTGACAGGCTTCCCAGGAGTGGTGTGGCGTCACTGTCAACACTATAGCACTTTCTGTCTGGAATGGCTCTCACATGGCTTCTGAATGGTCAGAGATGTGTCTTGGATTCTCCTGCCTTCCTGAGGAGCTTTCCTATGGGAGGTCTGAGTCACCTACTTTCACTATTAAGTTGAACAAGGACTCCCAAACACAACACCTATCAAGGTTGTTGGCCAACTAGTTAACAAAGCAAAGCAGCCAGCTGTTTCTGGCCTTGGAGGGAAGTCAGGTGTGCAGGATCCTGGGCCTGTGGGATGAGTGGGCGAGTCCCGCTGGCAGAGAAGGCCCTGTCAGAATCCTATGCCCGCCTTCGGTACAGGGACACATCCTTGCTCATTTGGCAACAGCAGCAGCAGAAGTTGGAGTCTGTACCACCCAGTACATACCTGAGCAGAAGCCGCAGCATGTGGTACTCCCAGTATGGAAATGAGGCCATCTTAGTCCGAGACAAGAACCAGCTTGGAGTCTCTAGGGACACCGGACAGTCTAAGTTTTGCTCGATCATGTAATTCCAGGGAGAAGACCCTTCTTTGATGGCCATGAAGATCAAACCGTGGGTATAAAAGTCAACACCCAAGAATGTCATCCAACCCTTTATTAGTGGCACAGTGGGCACCTGGACGCTCCCCTCACTGCTCAGGCCCAGGAAATGCTTCTAAACAAAAGGGAAGCAAGAGAGACGTCCCACCCCCCACCCCTGCTCCTATGAGCTGCTGCCTGTTATAGAATGGGTCAAGTCCAGCGTAAGAAGACTCTCTTCTTGCAGGGTCCCAAATCTGTCAATTCACTGCAGTGACATGTGAAAGGAGGCCAGTGCTGGTAGTGACATTCCAGAACCAAGAGTTTTAGCGACCAGTTGGTCTGTATGTTGCTGCATCATGGTAGCATCCACACTGGCCACCAGATGTGGTCTCATATATAGGCATATCCTTAAGCAAAATGTGCCCTCGAAGTGATTCCAAGCCTAATCAAGTGTGGAAAAATCGGATTGTGATGGTGAAGCATTGGAGCCTCTCTTCTACCAGGTTGCAAAGGCACTCATTTAGAGGCTAGCACAGTCCACCCCATAGCTATGCAAATGCAAAACAGAGCTTTCTAAATAAACATCTTAAGACTCTTCTCTTTCTTTTTTTCTTGTGTGAAACCTTACCTAGCTTTCTTAAGTAACAGTAGTGGTGACGTGATTGCTAAGAGCCACCATCAGAGGGTTTGCATGTCTCCTCATTCTGCACTGTGCTGTCACTGCTCCAGAGGCACCAGCCCTCTCCGTGCACCTGGCTTGTGATGGATGCAAAAGGCAAGTCTCACCCATGGCTGTGTTCACTGTCCTGTGCATGTCTTTGCAGATGTGCACATTTGTGCTAGAACTATCAAGACACTGTGCATTCCTCATTACTTCACCCAGCCTGACTAGCTGCAGCCTCCTGAGGAGCCTAGGTCCTTTGGCTCAATCCCTGCTGAAATCCAGGGCATGGGTTGGACTTTTGTAGTATATCCCTGTAAATGTAGAGGAAACTCACCATACACTATGGGATGGTTGGCCTGACCTGGAAGCCTAACACTTGGAAATTGTTCCATGTTCATTACATTTTCAAGCCTTTCAGTTCAACTGCAGTCCTACAAGCAAACTGCATTATCTGGAATTCCCACCACCTGCTTACACATCACCCTAACCCAAGGCCGTCTGCATCCAGCAAAGCACATTGACTTGGAGACGGATCACGGACTGTGTTAGGAGTGTAAGCACTTGTGGGACAGCTGTCTTCAGGTGGCTAGCAGATATGGGTAGCACAAAGGCGTCATGCTCCATGTAGGACACTGGGAAGCCACTAAGCTACTTACACTACAGGAAGATGCCATCTGTGCTTAGGCCAGACCAGTGCTGGAAGACACTAGTCTGAGAAGGGTTAGAGTCAGCAAGAGTCCAAAGTAGCCTGATCCACTCTGGACGGGACAAACATCCGCTAGGACCCAACATGAACCTCCTCTCCAGGACTGATGCTAATGGCTGTGGCCACCTGGAATGTCTCATCCCTCCTTCGCTGTGTCTAAGCCACTCCACAGCCCACTTTTAGTGAGTAGTATAGGCTCTTTATATGTTCTAACCCACATTTCCACTGGGCCCACTACACTTGGAGGCCTATACTGCATCAAGGGGCAGGTGGAATGGACATAGTGAGACAACCTAAGGAGAGGCTTGACCTCACTTGGATGGCAGGCAGTGTAAATGAGGACTGCAAAGGACTCCCTGTACCTCAGCACCACGAGCACTCTGTGTGTTCTGGGAGGGCACCACCCTTACTGTGTTGTGTGGTCCTTAAAGAACTCAGTCCTCCCTGAGCTGCAGGAGGTGAGGTGTAAGGACCCTGCCATGTGCCCTTCTTACCAAGAGGCATTGCAGAAAAGAGCTCCACACAGACATAGTCTTTTTTCCCTTTCTTTTTATTATGAAAACAAAACAAACACCCTAGGAGAAAGGTTCATGATTACCAGAGACACCAGAGTACTTCCTAACACTTTTACTCTGTGGTGTTGAGGCCGGCATTGCAAAAAACAAGCTAAACTACTTACAATGGACTCATTTTCAGTAACTGACATTTACAGGAATATACTAGAAACGGCACTAAAAAGTTTAAGAAAAGTTACGGTAAACTTGCATGCACATCATACAGAAAAGAAACGTTTTAAATATATATATATATAGATATAGATATAGATATAAAAAAGGAAAGCTTCTGGAAGTGTTATGCCAGGAGCAGGGACAGTGATGAACAGGACAAAGCTTTAACAGTGGGCTTGCATTTCCCAGGTGACTATAAAGCCATGACAGCTGCAGAAAGACAAAACCCAGAAAACCACACAAGAAAATGTCTCCAGTCTGTAAGCAAACTGAGCTACCCAGCCTGCGGAGGTCTGAACCCCAAAGATTGCCAAGTGCCCACCCCAGCCCTGGATGTGACCCTTAAGGAAGCCTGTAGACAGCTGCCCTCCCACCTCTGCATAGGACAGTCTAAGTCCCTGTAACTCACAAGAAGGGAATGACAGTTACCCTGCAGCCTGGCATTGTGGGGACTGGGGTCCTCCAAAATTCTGAAGACAAAACAATTTAAGTCTGGACAGAAAGAAAAAAAAAAAAAGTTAAAAGCACCAATGACCAAGGCTGATCAGTAGGGACCACAGCCATAGGAATGCCAGACTCTCCACCCCATGCCCAGCTCTGTACCACCGCCCTGTTGTGGGGACATGACCCCAGGGCCAGGCTCTGCTTGCCTAACAGCTCACAGGGGCACTCGCTCTACACATACCCAGGCACTGTGTCTTGCCTAAGCACGCTGGCTAAGCTGTTATGGTAGGCCATCACTGAGACCTCACGTGAAGGCCTGTCAGTTTACTCTTATTTCTTTCAGTCACAGCTTAAATATTCTATTAAAGATCTGTTTAAAAAATACCTTTGAAAAACAAGGGTAACTTTTAAAAAATGGAACCTTAAAATCCACTTATATCTTTATTATAAACAAAACTGGCTTACACGTTTAACTGGCTGATAACTCACCAGGCGTCTAGACATGCCAGCCAGCCAGCCACTTCCCGAGCTGACACCCACCGCCTGTCTGCATCCAAGGCTGGTGGGATCGACTTTAGAAATTTTTTTAAATATGTCCCATGTAGGGATGGTGAGGCCGAGTCCTTGCCTCTGCCTAGAAGCAATGGAAGAAGCTGCAGGAACCAGCCCCAACCCAAGGAAAACCATACAACACAAGGCTCTGCACTTCGTGCTCTTAGGCGGGGGTCAGGAGAACCAGTCTTCTGAGCTAACTGAAAATTCTTGAACAGGGACCCATGTCAAAAGTAGACAGGTCAAGGAGAGCCTCTACAGACTACAGTGGCTGGTGCTTCCAGGCCTGGGAGGCTGGCCTGTGCGCTCCTGGCTGAGGCCACAATGCTCAGAACTAATCCAGGCTGACCCTGCATTCCTAAACCATTCAGCAGCCTCAAAAACAACAAACCGAACAGGACTTTCTGTTAAACTCTGTATATTATTACTTTTTACAATAGAAAATTAAATGTCAAGACCTTGGCCTGATATACATCACTTTTCTCTCAGCTTACACACAAAGCTCGTGTTGAAGAACCGAGGTTCCCTCCGTTGATGTCTTTTAAAAGACCAGAAATTAGTAAGAAAAAACTGAATAGATAACATAAGATGAAGATGCGCTGCAGCTGAAGGGTGTCTAAGTCCCCAAATTTCATTAAAAAAAAAAAAAAAAAAAAAAGGCAATGAGCCCAGAGAGGCCAGCTGTGATGAGCGCCTGCACTGAGGGCGCCACCATGGGATAGTCTCCTTGTCGCCAGAGGCCTACATCCTCAATGTTTCTCTCAATGCACTTATTTATGGTTTCTCTTCTTTTTTTTTTTTCTTTTTCATTTTTTAAAAAATGATCAATGATGTTAATAAATAAAGTATTTATATATACATAAAGCTGGGAGGTGGTTCAGAGTGTCAAGGGCGGCAGCCGGGCAGCGCAGGCAGAGTGGGGACGCTGGGCTGGAATTCTGTAGAAAATGGATGAACTTACAAAAAAGTGGTTTTTTTTAATCTTTTTTTGTTTGTTTTTATTCCCGTAAGTTGAGGTAAAAGTTTCGGTGTCCCGAAATCTGCACGCTGTACACACAGCCAAAGGACCAGAGAACTCAGCACCCCCTTTTCCTCCACACCCAACCCAGAGGTGTGAGGCTCTGGTCTGCAGCTACCAGGACCCTCCACTAGGGCCCAGGCTGGTTCCCATGGGCTGACACATCTGTCTTCAGCCCCTGTGGAGAGAAGTAACCTGCTGGTTAGTGTTCTAACAACTTTGAAACTCAGAACCCATTCCAGAGAAATACCCTTGAAAAGCTTCCTTCAAGTTACTGAGGGAGAGGCTGGGCCTGTGGAGGGATTGGGCAGGTCCAGCCACGCCTCCAGCCCGCCTTGTCTATTCCATCAGGTTAGCATCCCAGGCGCAGTCTCCAAACAACTAGACCAAGCTACAAAGGCATTTCCCCACAGAACTCGGCCCTCTCGTGGGGTCTGGTGCACATGTGAGGCTCTCCACCCTACCGGAGCACAGCTGGAAGAGATCATAACACTGAAGTAAAAGAAAACCTGCACACCATGGAACGAAAGTATATTAACCATAGGAGGGGACACTGCAGTTGGCGTGCGCCACGTCCATTTGTCCAGCTCTGTTCCAGTCCGAGTTCATTCTGAGTCACTGCTGTCGGAGCTCGATCCACTGGAGCTGCTGCTTGCAGACTCTGAGGAGCTGCTGCTGCTGAGCCTTGATGGGCCTCCTGAGGGAGCTGAGCCGGACTTCTCTGCAAGGGACACAGGAGTGGGAGAGACCCTTGCTGAGCAGTGCATCATCCAAGTGTGCATGCTTGGCTGGAGAGATGGCTCAGCGGTTAAGACCATGGGTCTGCTCTTCCAGAGGTACTGAGTTAAACTCCCAGCAACTACATGGTGGCTCACAACCATCTGTAATGAGATCTGATGCCCTCTTCTGGTGTGTCTGAAGATAGCAACAATGTACTCATGCACATAAAATAAGTAAATCTTTTTTTTTTTTTTTTTTTGGTTTTTCGAGACAGGGTTTCTCTGTGTAGCCCTGGCTGTCCTGGAACTCACTCTGTAGACCAGGCTGGCCTCGAA